AAAAAGGACGGGGATGCTCGTCGGAAATTTTGAAAAGAAACCCCTAAGTGGTACCGAGATCCTGTTTTGTGAGCGTGGCTTGAATTGTTTTCTCCCCTAAGAGGTACCAACACATTATCTCCTGATATAATGTGTTGGTTCGATACCCAAACTGAAACGTACCGCAAAAGCTCCCGCTGTGAACCTTTTGAGGCTAAACACCCCAGAGATACCAAAACCGCCTTTTTAACCCCTTAAAGGCACGACGGGCTCCCCCATCATTTTTATGTGGGAGTCCCCCCCTCCCGGGCTTCGTACGCTAGCGAAATTGTGTTACACGTTGTCAACAAATTAGTAATGACTCAGCAGAGGCCTACATAGAACGATTGATTTATTGCTAAACAAACTCGATCTCAGTCATGACTTCGTCTCTATAACGTCAAAAACGTTTTGAAAAAGTCATCAAACGGCCTTGGCATCTCAAGTCTACGAAACGACGTAATTAGCCATTGAAAGGATTAGCTCGTCGTAATCAGTCGACACTCATTTGCAGGCACGAAAGAATGTAGGCTGATCCGGAGAAACGTCATATTCTGCTATTATGAAACCGGTCAAGAAAAGTTACTGATGTTACAATGTCCATCAAAATGAAAAATTCGAATTTGCGGACGACTTTTCCAATGATTCTCCTCAGAAGAATGAAAGCGAGGCTGAACACCAGTTGGGATTCATGATGGCTGCCAATTTAAAATTATTTTGTATCCATTTAAATAAGTCTCACTGATCTCATTTCAACGTAAAAATTCTTTTGAATTATCAACTTAAAAACGAGGTTAGTAAGGCTAATTTTAATATGTACAAAAGAAATTATAATTAATTGGCAGCCATTTATGAAAAGGGTCGATCCAGACCCTCTTTGAAGCCGCGTCTTTCCCTGAAAACACTCAGGCACCTCGGGATATACAGTTCAACTCAAACGGCCACCCGCGGGGAAATGGATAGTGGCCGCTAAAGGGGACTGGCCGCTTAATACAGTCGAACATCTGCTACGACGGCCAGTAATCAAAGTTTCGATGGTGACTATTCTGTTGTTTTTACCTCTATTAAGCCGCCAGCCCCTTTAAGCGGTCACTATTCATTTCCCCGAGGGTGGCCGGTCAGTAACAAGGGGTTGAAGTGTAGAAGTAAAAACAATAGAAAAGCCCTCATCGGGACTTTGATTCTTTCCGCCTAATAAAGGTGGCCGACTGTAGTGTATTTCGAAGGGAAACAAAGAGAGAAAAGGAACTTCTTGTCATATCTGTTTCTCGTCCTGATCCCCTTTCTAATCCTTAAGCGAAATACACGTCTGCTATTTGTGAAGTTTTCATTCTAAGCATGCGCGATTCTCGACGAGACTGAGAGGTGACTAATTGCTCCCTATCTACAGTAGATTCGGTTAAGCACTGTCTTAAAACTGCATATTCTCTTGTTCGGACTATCAACAAAAAAACAAGAGTCAAAAAGAGAAACACAGTAAACACAGCTTGGGTACGTAACTTGTTTAAGGTAGAACAAGAAAATATAGCAAATATGCAAGAATTCCGCCCTCAAACGAAGGAAAATTCATTTATTCACATGATATTTCATAGTCTCAGCCACTTTTCTGCGGTTTTATGTGTTTTGAGTGGAATATGATCAATTAAGCAAAAGTAAGATATCAGGACCCCCTCTGTCGCGTTCAGTTTACAAGGTTTTCTTATAAGTTTGATCTGAGAATAAATATAGAAGGCAATGCTTGCAGCAACACTAGTGTGAAAAAAAAAAGTTTTTTTGTTTAATTTTTGCTAGTCAGGAGGTCACTCCAAACTTCGCTGTGAACCTGTTGAAGTTTTCGATTACAGGACAAATCATTGTTTTGACCGTGCTCACCCGCAGGAATGCCATCTAGAATTACCAAGGACATTTCTCAGATAATCAAATATTAGGAAAATCATTAATCACAGAAAAATGGTTAAGGAGAGTCACCTGCCACATTATTCAATGGGTTGCCTTGATGCCCGTATATGATTATGAAATCTATAATATCTGTCATCCGTACATGATATATTTTGCAATGTACGGAAATGCACTTGAGAAGACTCGTCCAACATCTTGCAAAGAGCTGCACGTCCACAGTTGACAGGTTCTACAATGATAAGTGACTGTGGCAAATAAAAGGGTTGCTATTTCTTGTGATAGTCATTTCTTGTGTTACTAAAAATGGCTGAGTAACCAGGGTTAAACATTAAAAAACTAAAATCGTTCTCTGCTAAAATGTTTGCAGCCTGTGACGACAATTGAAATAAGAAACGCGCGAAAACAAGAATATATATGTAAACGTTGGTAAGTGATCGTTTGTCAAGAACGGTGGGAAATCATCGATAGTTGTTGCAACCTAAGATCTTAAAAAAAACCATCTCCACCGTCTAAAGCCTCCATCCGTTTGACCGTGGAATTTGAGAATGACAACGAAGTTTCTTCAGAACCAGTCGTCTATAGGAAACTAACACACACAAATTAAACCAACAGCATACGATTCACACCACTCTTAATAAGCAAAACGCGGTATTGTTAAGGCCACCCGCTACCAAGTCACCAGTTCTCTCAATGAAGAAAAGCGTTTCATATTTCATCTTAATTCAAACGGTTAACCCTCCTCCATGATACGGAAAATCACGGCAAAAAGGAGAAAAGCGACAAGGACAGAGCTCGTGTCACGGTTTAAAGCTGCTGCGGAGCCTGATCATTGCTGCTGCCTACAAAGAGGTCTTCTGACCCTCCTCAAGTCCAACATGGCCCTTACGGTCATACCTGGTGACACCGAAGAACACTGCTGCTGGGATAGCGTGGTCTACAGGATTCCCTGCGAGTGCATCAAAGTATACAATGGCCGAAAACCATTCAAATCTGGGTATATAAGAGAGAATCAAAGAGTTCGACAAGGATCTACAGCTCACCCGTGCCTAAACCCCGCTTCCTCGTTAAGTTTTTTAACACGCCCGTGAGACCGGCCGCTACCTCTCTTGGAATTGCTCGGAACTCTCACTGATTTTCCTGTAGACTCGAAAAGACCATCAATTCATTTGCATGTATAAGGCTCATCCAAACAACCTCGACAAGGATTATAAAGTGTGGAGAGAACACCAACAGGAGACTGCACAAGAGCTGACCGCTGAGGAAACAGCTTCTCCTCAAGACAGCAAAGATCGAAATTCACCAATCACAGTACATCATGATACAAATGGTGACTTATAACAAGTTAACCTAATCCCCTGATAAAAACTAGAAGGAAGAAGGTAAGCAGTGCAGTCCACATTCTTACTGACCGCATCCTGGAAAATCGGTGTTACTTTATTATTGATAAAGCCATTGTCCTGCTCATTCTTAGGGAATGTCATCTGTATTTAGGGTTAATTTGGATTTTGGAAGGGGAAACCGCCACATGTAGCTATATGTAGTCATGACTCTTTCCCGAAAAATGTGTCTTGTCTTGCTCACGGTAACCAGACTAAGAGGATTATAAGTAACCTGTTTAACCAGTTTCCAACAATGCATGCGTGATCGTGGGATGATTCAGGGTACACGGCTGCTTCTACTCTTTATCTGTACCCGGGGGAATATATTTAAACTTCATCCAGTGGAACTGGATAATAATTGTTGGTTATTTGTTAATATCGATGACTCATTGATACCAGCAGTCAACTATTCAGTTGTACATGTATGACAATGTCAGCAACACTACTTTGGTGCAGAGGAAATACCACTTATTCATGAAACATTGGTGGTCCCCCTCCAATACTTATAGAACGGATGCTAACAGAAATAATCCCTTATACATAATACTAATCTGGAGATATCTCTCTAGATGAATTAGTAGTGAAATTCTTTGGAACAATGGTTTTATTCTGATATCAGTGTCTGGGGGAGAACGTCGTGATTCAGTTGTCAATAACGACACGGGAGAGTTTGAAATTAAAACATTCGGCGAGCTCAGTCTTCCGGGAGTTGCTTTATATTAGCACCGAATTGAAGGGATTCGCAACTTCCTTCCTTAAAGACCAAGACGAAATCAGAAAGAGACTCCATTGCCTTGGCCAGTTTTGACAGTGGAGTCCCAGATAAACAATTATACTGAATGTGCTACTTCAGGTAAAGCTGACCTCGAGTGTTACTGAAAACGGTGCCAGCATTAGCTAGCATTCATGCTTTGCATGTTAGAAAATTGACACTCAAAAGAATCAACTTTGAGAGAAACAATCCCTCTTGACTCTGGCTCGGTCCTTAGTGGTGCTTGTGGAGACAAGGGGGTCAGTATGTGCAACTCCATTTTTCGTCAAAATGGGGCTTTCCTCATTCACAAGGGGCGCTAAGGCATTAAGATGAAGATATTGATAAGGGTTGAAATCCAGGGGGAGCGAGCTATCGACACGTTTCAAAGTTTTAATCAAAAATTCATGTACGCGGCATGACAACAAAGTGGACTGGTGCAGTCATTTTGAACAAAGGCGAGCTATCATTTTAAGGTTTCCGCTGACGAAAACACGTGTTTTCGCTTTTGAATTTTAAAGTGAAACTCCTCATGCATCACAGTGCTCCTTTATCTTCGTCATTTCACAAGAAAAATATAAAAAGATAGTCTCTCATTGTCAACTGATAAGTCTCATTTGTTCTGGTGTGAATATAAAATAAAATATTTTTTTCTTCAGCCATCAATAGAATAGCTTGGTTCACGGGTATCATATTTTTCATTGATCTTAACTGATATAGTTTTGGTTGTGACATCTCGAATCTCGTGAACACTTCCTTTTCACTGAATTAAATGTTTCTGATCAGTCTAAATGTCTGTGGCACATTAACAAGTACCGAGAAGAGGTTAAAGGCCTGGGAAGGTTAAATGCAGGTAATTAAGCACTGAAAGGTGTCAAGATTTAAGTTGGAAGGTTCGAGACAATGTACAACTATGGGTGGTTAGTGGCTCCGTTAAGATCAGGCAAGCTCAA